TAAGAACATGAGTTGAAATTAGAAAAATAGCTAGGAGGCGGATGCCGAAGTATTGAGAAAGCACCTACGTGAAGGCAGGACACTGCGCTGTCGCTAGGGCTCAGTGTTTTTGAGGGTTTATTTTCGTTTCAACTCGGGGTGTCTTTTCTTTCGGAGTTTATTTGCCCCGAAGATTTCGTTTTCTGGTGTCCATTTTTCACGTTAAACAAAGAATCGGTGTTTATCAGGGCTCATTGTGAAGAAAATAGGACTTGGGCAATACATTCTTTCCAGGCAACAAGCGCCTGCCCAAACACTTAAAGGGACACTGACACCCCCCAAATTTTTTTTTTTAATTTTTTGCCAGGCGCTTCATTATGGTGTCGGAGGACTACCCAATTAATATTTTGCAACAGAGTAGCGTATTTTTTTAATAAAGTCAAAAGGCGCAACTGCTCGAAACCGAAACCGAAACCCGACTGAGGTCGGAGAAGTGGAGAGAAGAGAGTGAGTGGCGGAAGTCACGTGGCTACACCCGAGCGTGTTTTTTTTTTTTTCTCCTTCCCGGTAGCAGACGACATGCGTTGTTTGGGAACTGCTCGCCGTGGGATTCTTTTGCAGTTATGTATGTTCCGCTCGTTGTTCTCTACTCCAAGATGAGTTGTTTTGTACATTGAGGAGTTGGAGATGAGTAGTGAGTGCCCGTGGTGAATTTTGATCGGCTCCGAAAAGAATACACCCAAGATGTTGCGTGAAAAGCTGGCTCACATGTCCCGCGTCCGAAACAGAAGTGGCATTGTGCGACAGAGTTTCCGAAAGATCAACGGGATCGGGACCAATGGCTGGCTGCAATTCCTGTAAACCATTTACGGGCACCTCGGAAAGCGGACGCTACCTGATTTATATGCTCCTTGTATTTTGTGGAAAGTGATTATATTGAGTTCGCAGGTGTCAAAAAGGATATCCCATACCATCTAATTCAGCGCCGTGTCGTCCACAACATGTTTCTTTTTTTTTTTTTTTGTTTCTTCAGTAATAATTGTAAAAAAAAAAAAAATGTAGACATCAGAAAATATTTAGAAAAAAAAAAAAAGTTTCACGGGGGATCGAACCCGGCTCTACCGGGTGCGAAAGGGGACGTCTTTCCCACTGAGCTACTGGGGCATGTCGAAAGTGGGGCATCTTTTTCCTTAGTAATAATTCAGCCGATAAACTGTAAGTTGGAAAGTTTGCTGCCGATTTTCCTCTAGCAAAAGCACTCCCGGGTCGAAGTCGGGATGCACCACGCATTGGCGACATTCTCACCTAGTAAAGAAATCGTACGCGTGCATATTCAACTCGAAGTAGACACGTCGCGCTTGACGTTTGCGCGAGCGATGTCTTCAGCCACAAGAAGGGAGCGACGGCTCGGCGACGTCTTCGTGCAAATCGGCTTGGTGGTCGGGCGTGTCGTACGGGATGAATACCAATTCTGTCGTTCGCCGGTACCGCGAACGACAGTTCTGAAATAGAGGTCTCACGCCCGTCGTCCGCTGCCATCGCCGTCCCTGCGAGTCCCACGATACGCGAAACGACGCACGCACAGAATGCTTCCGGTTGTCTGTGGAACTTTTTTTTTTTCAATCAACGTATTTGCAACTTTTTAGAAGCCACAAAAAATGGGTTTTATATTTTTTTCTATTTTTAATATTGAGTGTGTGCTTTCAGTGACCCACGACTTCGATTAAATTTGGTGGTCGCATCGATACCTTAGAAAACGGCCCGTGACCGCGGAAAAGAGAGTGAGCGAGACTCGAACCGGCCAGTTCTTGATCGGCGGTTTTCGGGCGGAAAAAAACCGAATTTCGAGCCGCAAATTCTGTTCTGGGTAGTTGAGCTCTCATATGTCACGTACAACTAAAAACCTCGGCGAGCATAAATACCCTGTCAGTGTTTCTTTAACAAACATGTTGGTACCGATGACAAAAAAAATATATGTTTGGTTCTCAACAATGAAACAGCCTCGCGGACAATTCATTGGGGTCTGTGTTCCTGTACAAGGTGAAAAAATAAACTGATTTGATTTGATTTGATATCACAAAATAAAGCTGTACATACTTTGTTCACGTGGATCAATGGTTATTTATATTTAACGCAATTGTATTAAAGATCTCGTGAAGCAGAAAAACCGGCGTCGGTGGCGTGACGTGAAAATCGAGGATACGAAAATCCTGGTTGGTCGATAGGGTCATGACGTCAAAGCCACATGACCTCGCAGCGGGAATTTCGAACAACCCACGACGCTCACATGAAACATTACGTCACGCGTAGATTGAAAGTTATTACAAAACAGAACAAGTAATGCTAATTAAAAGTCACAGCATGTCTAAAATATTTTCACTTTATAAAGTAATTGATTTGTCTTAAAGAAATCATTTGAAATATTTTAGGCGGGATTCGAATTCGCGACTGTTCGGTTGCGAGCCAGGCACGCAACTCACTAAGCCTTTCTTCTTTTCTTTTTTTTTTTACTTCTTTTTTTATTTACGTACAACGAGCGCTGTATACAATATTAAGACACAGTTGGATAAAGGGAGCGCACGGCGTGACCGTTTGACAGAATAGGTTCATGCCCCAGTCAGATTCACTGTCTTTGAAGTTTCTCAGTTATCTACACCGATTTTGAAACGTCTTCGGCACTTTAAAGCGCGTTTTCAAATCAGCCCATCCGGCCATTTCAAGGTTGTCCGTCTCAGCAATCTCGCTGGTCGTTATCATGAAGCCTTCTTGAAAGTGACGCCATGCTGGATTTCCTCCTTCAAGAACAAGAGGTGATCCGTGCGGGACTTCCATACTGCGTGCACTCCAAACAATGCAAATACCTCCAAACATTAGCAGCTCCTGTGCTAAAATCAAGAAATTTCGCGCTGCGCCAGTCCATGTACAATTAAACCTGTAGACTACTGCCTAGGTTCCCCCAAAATAATTCTGCGTTCGGGCAAAAGAGAAAAACATGCTGAAGAGTTTCTCGCGTGGGACAGAGCATACAGCTAAAACTCCACGGCGCAAAAAAGAAAAAGCCTTTCTTTTCGTGCCATGTCTTCGTTGGCAGCACCTCGGTGCGAAAAGGCGAAAAGAAATGAAGAAGTCAATTCCGGCTTCCCGATCGGGGTAGCTGCATGCGGAAACCCTTCAAGCGCTGGATTTCCCGACTTATCAAAGTACCGCCATTGTTTGATCCAATGCGGAGCGCAAATCGTCTGCTTCTTGCACAGGGCTTGCGAAGATGTCAGAACGCCGGGTTCTTATTGGCTGACTGAACAAAAATAGTGGGTAGTATAGACCTCAAAGCATCTAGCATTGAGGTCTGCCCACTATCCTTTCAATCAATGCCAATCAGAGCTCGGCGTCGCTCTGACGTCACAACACCTCCTGCGGAAGAAGCAGGCGATTTGCTCTCCGCACAGGATGCCGGCGACGCGTCGCCGTTTTTGGCTCATGGCGCATCCCACATCCAGACGCGCACGGTCCTACTGGTCTGCTCTGGCTGCCGGTGACGCGACGCCGTTTACAGGCACTCTCCTAGGCCGTGTTCCAAAGTTTACTCAATCTTACTCCAGGGTAAGGGTTTAGTTCCTTGGCGTTCTAAAACCTACCCGCGTCCAGCGTTTTTCAATCTGTGCTGTCACGTGATAGAATCCGCCGCAGTAACTCGGATCCATTTGGGTAAGATTTGGAATGCAGCCCTATTGGTCTACTCTAGAAGACGGCTCCGAGCCGTCGCGACAAGCTAAATTGGGAGCGGCGCTCCGACATTTTTGGCTCAGGAAAGATGGGACATCGTGCTTGACGGTACGCGCTTTACTTTCGCTGCGCTCGACGTTGGAGTATAACGAGCCTGAAACACAGGCTACCGAGGGGACTTCCAGAAAACGAAGTCTCTCACCGGCGTGCCATGTTGTAATCGCCAGAGTGCAATGCAGGATGAAGACTCGAGAGGCACAGGCCAAATCGCTCGTCCACAGCGAAAGACGCGTTGTCTCCACACCAAACCCGATTAAATGCGCTCTCTCTAAATATTCCAACCCTGCAATTGTGTTTGGCGCTAATTCTGATTCGACCGTAATTTTCTTCACGACGATACCACTTGCATTAACAAGGCACGAGTTAAATCTATCTTCAAGATATTTTACTTTGTTTATTTTGTCGAAATTTAAACGTTGGAGGGCTTTGTGGAAGCAGATTACACAAAAACCTGCGTGGTGATGTGGTCAAGATGTCTAACCCTCTTTTTTTAATAAACAAAATCATTTGGAGATGCTGGTGGCAAGAAATAACTATTATTTCAATTGATGAATTTGTGAGCGGGGACATAACATCTTTTTTTTTTTTTTGTATGCCAACATCGCGGATTCGCTTCTATAGAAGTGAATGATTAACCGTGGAAGGTGCCATCACGCATTGCCAAAGGCTCAGCAATATTGCTTTCCTCACACTCCAAAAATATGTCCCCGTCCCTGTCTCTGTAAATAATATAAACTAATATGGTCTATGCCAATTTCGGCTAGGCTGTGGGAACCAAGAAAAGAAAAAAGGAAACGCTGGACGACTATATAAAGTGTCAAAAACTTTAAAAAGTAGTTGCAAGGCAACCCAATCACTGCTGCACGCGAAGACTAAGTTCTCAAACATTGTTATGACTACGCCGCGAAACTCGTGAATTTGTCGGGGATTATATTTGAACGAAGGTTATATTACACATCGACCTTTTTACAGTGGTTGTCCTTTAAGTTTCAGATAGAAATCTGCTTGCTTACGGTTTCTTACATAAAACTGATTTCTTTATTGTTTGTGGTCACCACTAATATTTGCAATATTGTTCTCTAGCTCAAACATATTTAACTTCTACAAAAAAAAAACGTGCTTGTTTAATTTTTAAGTAACTCCTCCTTTATAACAAAACTCGGAGTCTACAAATGTTAAAAGCCTGACACATTGCAAACACAAATGATATCTCTGCCTACCAAGTAATTACAAGATGGTGCTGTTTGCTTGTACCTTTATTACGTAATCGCTCATTTTGGGCCAGGTGTTGCAGCAAACTTGTCATCGTTGAGACCAATATCTCAATAACACTTGGTTGTCTCAGAGGTGGTTCACTTGCCCCACAAAAAGGATGGCGTTTGAGCGCGTGTCTCGAATGAAGAAGAGGAAAGGATGGTCGACCTCGAATTCGAAACCGCTAAAGCTGCCACTCCTGAGTCCACCGATCACTGCCGACACCACCGCCGCCTCGGTGCCTTCTTCGTTGACCTCGACAACCGCCTTCTGCACCACGTCGAACACATGCAGGCTCGTGTCTCCAGAGATTCCGGAAAGATCAGCACCGCCGCCAAAGATTCTCCTGATGCCCATATTCTGAAGAATTTCCTTCAGTGAGTACTTGCTTTCAAACTTAAACCTGCACGAAAAGAAATGCATATGTTGTGGATGTTACATTTTCTAAACCCAAACAATATAATGATGTTTTGCCAGCAGGGCAATGAAAATTTAATAACTTCTCTTGGATGAACAACTAAAGAAAAACTACGATAAATATTTCTTGGACGCAACGGAATGTGTGTCCAATCGGCAGATGGTCTTTGTTAGTGGTCACTGACTTTTATTTCGAATCACAAAGGTTTACAAGAGGTTGATCCGTTTAGAGGAGTGATGGGATTCGAATAACTTAATTGAGACAACCCGTGGGTTATCTTCCTCACAAAGTCTAATCAATGAGAGGGTAAAAACGGCATGAAAGACTTTCACTTGTTCCACCTTCCAGCGCGAGCCTTCCTATACTTTCAGTAACACCTTGCCATCTCGCGAGCTTCGAGCGTGCACGCGTTGTCGAAGGCTGATGCAAGGCGACAAGCACGTGCTGGATGCCGGGCATTTGCCCTTCTTATCTCGTCAGTGACATTAGTCAATACTTCATATAACAAAAGTCTGCAGCGCTGACGATTGCACACGAGATAACGCGTGGCTATGAAAATTCCTCCTATGCGAGATTTCTCGTGTGAACAAATTCATTCGGCTGAGCGTCAGGGTCAAGCGCGTGTGCTCTTGTATGCACTGTATATTTGTGAGATATGATATAGCTACACCTCAATATGAACTGTGCCATAGACTAGTCTGTGTGGAAAAATCTGTCCGCTAGCACCGGCCAGCATCCGTAAAAGAGAGAGGAGCGGACGACAGTTAAGAAGCAAAATGACACACAGCGGACATTTTGCGAAACATGTCTCGCCATTGCGAAATTCGTTTTGAGACGCAGTTGACAGAGTGATCGCTAGTCTGAATTTTCCTAGAAATTTCCTCTTCCTCTTTCGTCGAGTTTAATTTCCCCTGATGAGAATACAATGATTGTACACCTTAAAAAAGTAACCATTTAGCACTTTTTAAGCATTCCAGTTGCTCTTGTTTTTTTAATTTTTTATCTGACCTTAAAATATATTATGCCTATACTCACTTTGGCAGAAATACCGTAACATCGCGTTGCACCAGACGATCTAGGATAGTCTTGAGAATTCCGGCCGTAAGGTTCATCTTCAGCGCCTCTACACCGGTTTTCTCTTGGGGCAGCAGGATGACCATGCTATAGTCACCACCACGGTAGGGCAATTCTGCAACGTCCACACTCATATCGTTGAAGCTGTTGTGACGAATACGAATCTTGCCGATCATGGTGTCAACTTGTGCTTGAGTTACGCCACCGTTAAAGAACGACCTTTGTCCGGTACGTCTCTTCTGAAACTCAGTCTTCCAAGTTCCTTTGAAGTACATGGCATTCAGCAAAACAAATCGTGTAAGCGGATCCAGGGGCTCGCTAAAGAGACTCTCAATCTTGTTATGAGTCTTGTCCTTGACCCAACTGTTGATGACGTCAACAGCCCCCTGTCCATTTTCTACGAAGTCAACTTTTTGCAGATCGGCATTGAAGGAGTTCCTCAGTATTGCCTCATACTCGTTCAGAAGGGGCAGCCCTAAATGAATGGCCGCTGTGTTGGCGACGTCCACCGTAGTGTTAGACGGATCAGACAGATGTCGCTGAGTCTGACGAGCGTACGCATCCAAGACCTGCTCTTCCGGAAGACCAGCCCTGGAGTAGCCCAGGTTCTCGTGAAGTTCTTGTCGTGTCTCCCCTCCTGCTCCGGCGTAGGCCATTCCCATCGCTATTGAAAGACTGTAGGGCGAGAAGAAGATATTTTCCTCGGGAGAGCTTGGTAGCAGAGGGAGCAGGCGCATACCAAGATCATTGCTTGCGACCGTTAGTTTGTCATCATCTTCAGCTGAACACAGGACGAAGACGGACAGGAACGCAGTGATAACTTTCATCTTGGGGCTGCCCGGAGAAAGGGAGACAGGTTGGGTATTAGAGCGATAGGCTTTCTGATCTCAAACACGAAAGTCTCCAAATGGCTTGTGCTGACGTCACCTGTGCTGCCGTTGATGTGGCGTTACTGCTAAGCACATACCTACTGAGGCATGCATTTCGCGCCACCTCATTTTTGTTTCTTAGGAAGGACAATTTAAATCGGCCTGCAGTATGCGGCAATGACGTCACGCGAGAGCCATACACACAAAACACAGGTATAGTCTATAGTGATGCATTGAGACTGGTCCTTTGGTGTTACGTCATTAAGAATATTCTCAGAAACATGAGCGCCAGCTACACTGCAGCTCTGAGAATAGGGTACCTTAACTCCAGTTTATCTTACACCGTTACTTATGAGAACTGTAGAAGGTAATAAAACACCAAGAGATTTGACTTTGATTCCTGCTCGCATTAAACGTTGTACATTCATAAGAACATCTACGCAACCCCGGCAATGGGGGGGGGGGGGGGGCATTTAGCTTCAATGTATGAACCCTTGGTTATTCCTTCTGGGTAAATAAATCTTTGGAGCATCCCTCAATATTTTAAATTTGTCGCTATTGTTGAATCCAAGGATTTCCATTTCCTTAAGAAAACCACACATGTGCAAACGTTACCATAAACATACTCGCCTGAGACCCGTCTGGTTAGGATGATCGTCTGACTGGTGGTAACTCTAACCTTGAGGTACCCTTCCCGTCTGACATATCATTGTCACCCGTGATCAAGGGACTTAGCAGAGCCCTGAACTTCGTTCTTTTGATGTCTTAAAATGTGGTTAGGTAATACATATAAAGTCACGAAACTAAATGGAAGCCCCTAATTTGCATGTGACTCCGAGTTTCAGAATTTCATTTATCATTTTTCATGTATATCTTAGAAATGCCACCCGGCGATTGAACATGATTTCGCACGGACGTTCCTGTCACATAACCATTAAGTGGGGATGGAAACGTGAATACGGTTTCTGTTGGAACACGTGTCTTGAACGAATAATAGCAAGATGAAAATAATGATCATTTGGCGTGTTTACGTTTAAGATTCTCTGAAAGGCACAATTATGTGACTATTAACCAGGCTAAATGCTTCGCTAGTAAAAGTTGTTTTAATTTCCTACTTGAAAAGGGTGTATCGAATCCTATGAACAAAGCATTATACAGTTAGCTTGGTACAATCACAAATGAAGAGATTGTGGAATTAAACAAAGACGATACAAAACATCTTTCCAGACAGCAAAACATTTTATATAGTTTCGCTGCCAGGTGGAACGTAGGTCATTTTTCTACTCGTTTCTTCGTGTTTCTTTATTTATTTGCTAGGTGTACAATTTTTAGAGCTATTTATGTGTAAGCAATACGACTCTGAGCAGTTATTAGCCCAACAAGTTGTTCATCCTTAAAATTTGCCACTGCTCATGAGAGGTGTTCGGGGTACCAGCTGCCTCATAAAGGATCTGTAGACGGATGCAGGAACACCAAGGTTTTACTATAGGTTCAATAAAAAAAAAGCAAATCAAACCTTGCTCTTTCGCCAGCACAAATAAATTATGCATCTCAGAAAGCTGAAACATTGCATTAACGTGACTCTCTCCTTGGCGTCAACTATTGTGTGCTACAGTGTAAAGACTAGCGTAGCTTCTACGGTGCTCCAGCCGGACGCTGCTGCGAGAGAAAGTGGCCGAGGTTTTGCCTTGCGCCTCATTTGCATTCGCCCCGACAACTAGCTGACTGAGTTGGACCACTGTGAAAGCTACGCTAGCCTTCACAACATAGCACAATATAGTTGACGCCCAGTATAGCTGTTATGATAATATACGAACGTTTGGGAACAAGTTGTTACCAGGAAAAAATTATAACACAAAAATAAAACTTCCCTATGGGCCGACGTTCACCACCTCAAAGTTTCACAGTGTTATTTGTCAAACTAAGAGGTAGTGATGTTATTAGGTGTGCCATTTATTTCAGGAAAAAAGGTTTTAATCAAGTAATACAATCTTGTTTTCTTTCTAAGGACGAGCTTTATTTCGCTTTAATAAATGCCACAGTGGCCCACAAAGCAATTTTGTGGTTTGACAAATATTAGGCCTCGGGGAACATCGGCTCAAAAGGAGTTATGTTTTCGTTTTGTTTTTTATTCAGGCACCATCTTGCCTTCGCAATAGTAACTTTTATCACCACCACTAGCGTCAGACATTTAAGAGTTAGAGCTTTCTGTAATGCTTGCTTATGCGGGCCAAATACAAGATTTAATTTGTCTACAGGAACTTGTATAAGCCGGTGTCATAAGAGTTAAACAAGACACATAATTATCTCATTTAAGCTGTCACGGCAATTTTTTTTGTATATTGCTGAGAAACTATATAGCCCAGGGTATTAAGGAAACAACTTTTATATATAAAAATGTGGTGGATCGAATGAGAGAAAAGCATACAACTCACCGATTGTGATGAGCAGCTTGCGTCTTTGATGTCACCAGGCAGAATGCCGCCGAAGAACTTCTGCGCGCGATGGTCTTCAGAACTCAATCGTACGTTTAAAAAATAGAGCACGAATAAAACAAACAACAAAAACAGATAAACGCTCCAGCTTCTTCCCTAGCGAGATTAACACTACCGCCTTCATAACCGAAAAAAAAAAACGCAACCTCATTTTATGTTTTTGTTTTTCTAAAGTAGGGCAGTCATCTTATCTCGTGCTTCATGGAGTACTTAACGGCCTTGTATCCTATCCAGCGAAGCGAACGTAACACCCTTATTTCCAAAGACAGAACCGCCTGACCTCCTCGCTTCATGCTATTTTCCTAAGGCGTTTGCTGCGGAAAAAAGTATAGACTGTCAGCCCCCCAACAAAATAGCTTTCTTCGTTTTGTTTTTTACTACGAAACTAAGCGACGCAATGCTGAACGCTCATTCTCTACCGAAATGTAGCGCGAGAGGTCCGAACCGCTGACACAGTTTCGGAAGATGTTTCAGAAAGATTCAGTTGAAAAATGGGACCCATTCTTTATAGCTGATGCTATTCAGCTTCATGTAATCGAGGAGTTCATTGGCCACACTTTTCCCATTCACATTTTCATAAAATCACTTACAAATTTTTAATAAAATTACGGTGAGTTCGGAAATTTAGGCATCTTGTGTGGATCGATCGCTATACTCGCGGTCAGCTTTCTGTGGCAATCCGAAGAAAGGAGGAAAGCGCATGTACGGCGGCTGGTGCACCCTCTCCCCTAGCATTCACTACATTGCCACAGAAAGCTGACCGCTTCATTTGGCCAGAAAATAAGCCTTCGACAATGCGTAGTTTAACTGTCCGTTGGAAAACCCTGTAAATGTTTTTTTCAGGGAAGGGAGAAGGGGGGTGAGGAGGTGAGGGGAACTCTGTAGAATAACGTCGGGAGCAAAAGCTGCATAATACCCTATATCTATTTTATGTTTCCTGTGAAATTACCGGAAATATAAGGCCACACAAGCTGAGCTAGCAAGGTCCGTGCACTCAAATTCTAACATTGCCACATTACGACTGCTGCGCCAGCGTTTGGCTGACGCGGTTTGTGCTTTCATGTAGTTTGTGCTTTTGGTATGCTATCACGTTTCATAAAAGAGGAGGACGCGAAGGGGCTTTGCTTAGCCACGGTGTTGGGAAGTAATTTAGGTACATTGTAGTTAAAGTACTACTCCAAAGAGGTTTAGAATACTTGTCCCTTACTTGACGTACATGGTCTGAGTGTGTACAACTTGCACTTAAAAGATTTTTTTGTGGTACTTTCAGAGGAACGTAGAACTTCTGACTCCAAAGCACATTCCCCAAATTTGATTTTGATCAATTTGTGTCACAAAATGTTGCTTTGCCTACTCTGAAGCGACTTGACTGTATCCAATATTCGCTAACATTTCCGAAAGCACACACACACGCACGCACACACACACACACACACACACACACACACACACACACACACACACACACACACACACACACACACACACACACACACACACACACACACACACACACAATGTATAAGGAAATGAAAGGGCATCATGAAAGGTTTTGATACAAAGTACTTGTACTTTAATTTGAAACTACATTGCATTTCTAGTATACTTTACTTAAAGTACATTGCGCCCGGTGTGCTTACTACTTTACTTGAAGTACATAACCACTAATTTACTTTGTACTTTACTTCAAGTACCTTTTACAAGTACTTTACAGAACACTAGTTAGTCTACAGTCAGTGAGGTTTAAGAAATTAGAAACGCAGGGCAGGATTTAATAGGTTCATACTTGTGGCTCCTTGGCTTGTATGTAGCCGTTCATAGCGGCTAATTCCGCAATTTTGTTGGCAGAGAAGGTTGCTAATATATATATTGAAGGCTTCCTCTATTTGTTAACGTTTAAATCTACTAAGATATTGTATTATTATTACCGAATATCAGGACTATACTACGAGTGGCTGTCCTTGATGTCGGATAACCTTAGAGTGTGTGTTTGTTTTCTTTCTTTGTTTTGAAGCACCGTTTTTTTCTGTCATGCCCTTATTTCTGTGGCAGGGATGCCACGTCTAAACTGCCTTTGTAAAGTTTCACAAAGGTGTGCTTGAAAAGCATGTAACTAAGCGCGAAACAAATTTTCAATACCGAATTATTGGTTTACTCTTCAATTGCTCTAAATTGACAGTACAAGTAAAGAAACGCTTCTTGTTGAACACTTAACTCGAACAAGGAATAAAGGTGCAGCACTATGTAGGCACAAACTAGACTTCTATCCTGCCAGGGACCACAACGAGGAAGTGGATACATGAATCTTTATTATGCAACGTAGTATGGCGATCATCTTTTATACGACAGCTCGCGTCATTGTTTGTTTATTACAATAACTCACAGGTCAAGTAGGGCGCGCAATAAAGGCCCTATTGACCCAGAGTGGGTCTCATGGGTCCAAGGTTGCTAGCGTTCGGCACATATCAGGCTAGTGGGACTTATGAATTAACTTTTTTTTTTTTTAATGAATGTCGCAACCTTGATCACTATTATCATCTCAGTGTATTGCATCCGTGTCAAACTAATAGTGGCCGTCTTGAGGCTGAAGGAAGAAGAATATGAAGATACTACTAAACGAATATAGCCGAGTATATATGCTACATGTACCTTCGAGGCGTCTGTACTACGTGACGCACAAATTACAGATATAACGGCTGCGTAGGCGCTTATTTCTGAGTGTGGTCTAGCCTGTCTGGCTCTAAAGTTTGGCTCTAAAGCCTTTTAATGGCGGAAATTTAATCAACGCCCTTATGGATCGCCGCTTTTTACTGGCCAGTTATTACGTTTTCACACCGTATAAAGTGAAGCAAAGGGTGATCGAAGAACCAATTATTATTTGCCATTGACGTGAAAACATGACGGTACCCAATGAATTACAGTTTTATGAGCGTCATTAGCCGCCCGAAAGTGTCACTGCTTTTTGAGCCAAAGAAAGCGCCGAATTTTGAAACGGGTTTATTCTTGGCTCAAAGGTGGTTCACTTGCCCTGCAAAAAGGATCGCGTTCGCGTGCGTGTTCCTGATGAAAAAGAGGAAAGGATGATCGACTATGAAATTGAAACTTGGCGACAACGCCACCCTGGTCGCGCCGATCACGCCCGACACCACCGCCGCCTCGGTGCCTTCCTCGTTGACCTCGACGACTGCTTTCTGTACCACGGCTGACACCTCCAGGCTCTTGTCTCCAGTAATTCCGGACAGATCAGCGCCATCAAAGATTTTCTTAATGCCCATCTGCTGGAGAATTTCCTTCAGGGAGTACATCGTTTCCAACTTGAATCTGCGTGAAATGAAAAGCGCCTTGTCAGTAGACCACTCAAATAATAGACCCATTTCAAAACCCCAACTAGCAACATTGGCCGTCGCCATTTTTAGAGTGGACGCGAGTGTGATGTCAGCGTTCGTCTGGGACTCGTGTTCGATGGGTTCTTCACGATTGAGCAGGAGTTCCAGCCGAGCGCTGCGTCTCAAACAAACAAGACATTAAAGCTGAAATAAACCGCTGAACAGCTAGAACAGGAGGTGACGCTGCACTACTATATTGCTGAACTTCAGTTTCCTTGATTTTTTTTTTTTGATAGGTGATTTTATTTCAAATCATGCAGGCAAAAAGGGTCAAATTTTTAATTTCGCTGATAAAAATATATGTTATGGCGCCGTCTCCAAAAATGCAGTCGCCACAAACCGCAAGCTCGTCGGAATTTTTGTTCTCGACCTACGAATTTTCAAAGAGGACGCGGCGGAAAACAATGTTTTTCACATCTGTCGAGGGTCGGATGTTTCGCTTGATCTCCCGCCGTGGATTTTCAGTCCACATTATATTAATTTTTTTCAATCACTCTGTGAGCACAGTTAAAAGGCCCTTATGCCACAAATTAAATTTAGGCGCTTTGTTTTTTTTTCTGTAAAAATGTCAAAAACGCCCCCTGATGAAATTTGACAATTAAATACTGGCGATCTACTTGGGTTACATTGATATTTTTATGTCTATAAAGAGTCCAAAGCACGCTCGTTATATATATTTTAAAATCACTCAGCTGTAGAAAATTTTCTTTACGTTACGTTTACATTAATCTTATGCTAAAACCAAAAAGTATCAATTTTAAAATCGATTTTCTCAGAACACCCATTTCTTTCTTGTTAAAATGTAGATATGATAGTTTCCTACTCAAAAATCAAGTATAGAAAGTGTGTATTTTGTTCGTTTTTTCTATATTTAAGCCTCAATATCGGAAAAATACGTCTTCGTTTCGCAAGATTTAAGTCAGACATAGCGACCTGTGCTTTGTCTATGAAATGTGAAAAAGTTTTCTTGCATTTTTGTTTGCGTTTCGTAATCATTATAAACGCAATTTGTGGTATTGAGTAGTTATTTATATTTTGATAAGAGCGGGAAACCACGAGCAACATATCTAATCAAATCGGCAGAACTAGTAGACCTTCAATATCGAAGAGGAACAGACGTAGTATATTGTTTCGATTTAAAAAAAAACTTTCACTGTAGACCAGCATGACTAGCTATTAGCTGTCATATTACTAAGACATTGAAAGTCGCCACATTCATTGATATATTATATACAATTCTTTCCGAAACCAAACGCTAGGGTTTATTCACCACACATCGCACAGATCGCCAGGGAATTGCCTTTCACTTCTGTAATACACAAAAGTGAAGACACAGAAACGTTCCGAAACAGACAGATAGATTGTCACGGAGAGGGGAAGGGAATAAATTTACCCAACTCCGATCTTAACGAAAATTACGTTAAATGAATAGAAGATCTAGCTTCAACCGGTGGCAAGGCGATAGCTCCACACCTAGTGGTTTCCCGCTCTTATCAAAACATAAATAACTATTCAGTACCACAAATTACGTTTATAATTGATTATAAAACGCAAACCAAAAGGCAAGAAAACTTTTTCACAATTCATAGAAACGCACGGGTCGCTATGTCTGACTTAGGTCTTGCAAAACGAAGACGCCTTTTTTTTATATTGAGGTTTAAATATAGCAAATACGAACAAAATATACACTCTATCGAATCGATTTTTGAGTAGACCACTATCATATCTACATTTTACCAAAAATAAAAAAATAAAAAATGTTTTTGTTTTTTTTAGAAAATCGACTTTAAAATTTATACTTTTTGGTTTTAGTCTAAGACTAACGTAAACGTACCGCAAAGAAAATTTTATACAGCTGACTGAATTTATAATATATATAAAGAACCTGTTTTGGGCTCTCCACAGACATAAAAAATATCGATGTAAACCAAGTAGATCGCCAGTATTTAATTGTCAAAGTTCATCAACAATGAACCGAGGGGGCGTTTTTGACATTTTTACAGAAAAAAAGCAAAACGCCTTAATTTAATTTATGGCATTAGATGCTTTTAACTGTGCTCACAGATTGCTTGAAAACAGTTAATATGTTGTGGACTGAAAATCCACGGTGGAAGATTGAGCGAAACATCCGCCTCACGATGGATGTGAAAAACACTGCTTTCGCCGCGGCTTCTTTTAAGATTCGTAAGTCGAGAACCAATAATCCGACGAACTTGCGGTTTGTGGCGACTTCGTTTTTAGAGACGGCGCCATAACATATATTTTTTCAGCGAAATTAAAAATTCTACCCGTTTTGCCTGCGCGATTTGAGATGAATCACCCACATATATATTTGTTTAATTGGGTGAAAGATAAAGGTTTAGACGAACTCCAGACAAGATCTAAAGCAACGTCCTTTCTTTTCAGCCCAACTCGGTTTTGAATCGTCTGGACACTTTTCTAGGCAACGTGACTTGATCAACTAAATTGTGGAACTATCCATCCATAGGCGCCGTTTCCAGGCGCAGTAAACTCCCTCGAAGGTTCGTCTCTTGTCGTTCCAAAGAGTCACGGTTGTTGAAACGATCGTTAGGGCAACTTCACAAAAATGCAATAGTTTTAAAGCACCGCGTTTAAAATGCGCTTTACCGTAGCCACTCCAAAGAATAAAGTTTAGAACCACAGCCTCTAGATTGCGCTTTAAATGACGGTTTGTGCCAATAGGAGGAAGAGGTAAAGAGGGGGCGGGGGGATGATCACATCTCCATGGGTGTTTAGAACAGAGTTGATAATATCTTTATTTACCCTCGAACCGGTGGGGGAGGTTTAGGAAGAACAAAAGCTGAAAAATCAGCTTGACGTGGTTGTTTTCTCTTCAGAAAGTGCGCAATTAAAGATCAAGAAGCAACGTTTCCAGTTTTTCTATTATCATTACCTGTGGGGCTTGGTTCGAGTTCGAATTTAACTTTAGCACATTTTATGACGTGCTTTCAGTTCCTAGTAAATAATTTTGAGAAAAAGGATGTGAGCTCCATACTCACCGCGGAAGAAACACGTCGACTTCCCGTTCCACGAGTTGATGTACGAGTGTATCGAGTAGGTCTGCAGTAAGGTTTCTTTTCAGCGCCTCGACGCCGGTCTTCTCTCTGGGCAACAGGATGACCATACTGTAGTCGCCACCACGGTAAGGCAGCTCAGCAACATCGACACCCAAATTCTCGAAGCTGTTGTGGCGAACACGAATCTTGCCGACCATGGTGTCAACTTCGGCTGGAGTCACGCCACCGTTGAGAAAAGGCCTTTTTTCGGTACGTTTCTCGTCAAACTCGGTGTTCCAGGTTCCTTTGAAGTACATGGCATTCAGCAGAACAAATCGTGTGAGCGGATCCAAGGGCTCACTAAAGAGAGCCTCGATCTTGTTATGGGTCTTCTCCTTGACCCATTTGTTGATGGTGTCAATGGCCGCCTGTCCTCCATCAACGAAGTCAACCTTTTGCAGCTGGGCGTTGAAGGAGTTCCTCAGTGCGTTCTCGTAGCCGTCCAGGAGTGAAAGTCTTAGGTGAATTGCCGCGGCGTTGGCGACGTCGACCGTTGTGTTAGACTGGAGAGACTGATACTTCTGGGTCTGACGAGTGTATGCATCCAAGACCTGCCCTTCCGCAAGGCCAGCGTTCGAGTAGCCCAGGTTTTCATAGAGTTCCTTTTGGGTCTCCCCTCTGGCTCCGGCGTAGGCCATTCCCATCGCTATCAAGAGGCTACAGGGCGAGAAGAAGATGTTTGTCTCGGGAGAGCTCGGTAAGAGCGGGAACATTCGGAGACCGAAGTTGTTGCTTGCGACCGTGAGTTTGTCCTCTTCCCCAGCCCAGCATAGGGCCAAGACGGACAGGAACGTCGCGAGAACTTTCATCTTGGTACTATCCTGCATAGGAGAAGTTGGATAATGCGATGTTGGGCATTAGAAGTTTAGAAGTTGGAACACTTTAAGGTAAGTTCAGGGGCTACTAACATTCAGAGGACCTATATTACGTTGAGATTTAAACAACAATACTGGGTGGTTTCATTTGAAATCGAACACGCTTGTCGGGGTGGGTTCTTCTATTTTTATTTAAAATATATATGTGATTGCCCCATTTCTGGAAAGAACGAAACCATTTTTCAAAAATAAAAAAAAATATTTCGTTTCACAAAAACATTATTGAGTGGAGCAGGGTGAAAATCAGTTTTTCCCTCCGCGATATTTCGACCCAGTTCTGTACGCTGGTATGAATACGGAAAGCATACAAAACTCACAGTAATTATTTGTGCTCTTGGATGTTATTTCGAATATTTTTTAGTTCAATGAAAAGTACTTTTGCATTTTTGTTTATTGAGGTAAAAAAATGCCAAACATCGTCACTTTGACGATCCGGTGGCATCTTCAGAGCCTTGTAACTCGTGAGTTATTTTATCTTTCGCTTATCAAATACCATGCGGGTGTAGTCCTACACATGGGCTATCGACGGGCATAAGTTTATTTTATTTTAACGGAACTTTTTATATAAAATTTTAAATATCGTCGAAAATGGGATTAATCGATATTTTGAACCCACTTTATAGAAAAGGTCATTTTTTATTTCTTTCAATTTTTTTATTATTGCTGCCGATCATATAAACTTTCAATTGACTTGATGCGATTTCCCCCTTTTTTTGTTGTATCTCTTCTAGAAGTGATCTAAATCGCTCCCACTTTCTCGGAACGGCCAAACGCAATTTCCGCAGGTCGGCTTCACTGCAAAAACTATACTGCTTATTTTTGTGTTAAAATTCAGCCGGGAAATTTATTTTGATTGAGGACACTCGTGCTTGGCTACACATTGTATTTTCTTAATTTTGTAATGATGACAACTGACATTCCTTAGTCCGATCGTTAGCGGAACAGCGGATGTTCCATTATCCGGTGCGTGAAGCTAGGGCACAAAGGGTGGAGACAACGGAACGAGCTCTTCATGTATCCAGACCGGTGTCATATATCTGTTTGTGCTATATACAGCCTGTAAGGCACGTACAGCACGCCCGGCCCTTCGCGCTATAGGCCCATCTCCGTTACACCCAGGAAGCACCCAGCACGGGCCGCCAATCCATGACGTGTCTTGTCGCGTGCGATCAAATAACCATGTAATTGCCTGTTATTTATTGCCAGTGTGTATATCAAAAATATGTAATATCACATGCGCCTCTTTAAGGAGGAAAAGCAATTTACAGAAAGGAAGGGGGGAAAATGGACTGAGTTCACATGAAGCGAAGACAATTTTTTACAGAACACAAACACCATTCGGCGATAAATATTCACTTCTATTAATTACCGCTAATATATTTAGGATGGACTTGCAAAACGATATGTTGCCTTGCTTTATATAGTCCAGTTCAGGAGCGACGCAATATTGGAACTTTTTTGACAACGGCATCGGCTTGCCTCTGCGGAGAAGATCGAGCGCGGGGGGGGGGGGGGGGGGGGGGGGGGGGCGAGGCGAGCTGAACTTTGTATCGCAGCGGTCGGATGCCGCCGAGAAGTTCAACAGACAGCGAGGTAAGTCGAGACGGACAGAACGAAAGCTGGAGCCAAAGCGAGCACGCGGTAAACCCGAGACGGTGGCCCTTCTGTTTGAACGAGTGTGTGCAGTTAAAAATAAAAGTGTTGTGTTTTGTTCAAGACTGATCGATATCCCTGGTGCCAAGAAGCAACGATTCCGACATGCACAGAAGCCAGCGAAAGCAGCCACTTAATGTCTCTGTAGACTTTTAGTTTCCCCACTTTCTCGCACCGAGCTTAATGCAAATATAGTACAGCCTTCCGGAATATGGAAAACCGATTTGACGATTTTATTTTAGGTGGCTACGGTAGATTTGCTTTGGCTAGGTACACGTTGCTTTGGTTTGGGAATAAAAAAAGGTTTGTTCTATTTTCTCCTTCAAAATACAGCGCGTCCGGCCAAGGCGGACTTGGCACCACTGCATAAACCGCATCGGCGAATATGTCTTTCAGAATGGCGGAGACTGTACGTTTCGTGCTAGGCTCCTGGCCTGGCTCGCGAAGTGTGCACCACACATGGGAGGAGCGTAATCCTGTGCGAGCACCTACTGAGGCCCTCTCTTCTTTTTTGTGCTTCCTGAATATATTGATTTCTTTCTCCGGTAAGTCGAAAAGCACAACGCTTCTTGTCATTGTTTTATTTTTTTTTTTTCAACCATGTCCTTTGACGTCCGTATCTAGGAGTCGTCTTGCGAACGAAAATTGTGTACTGTAGCGAGGTGCCTCAAGCCTCACAACCTGTGTATAACACAGACAGATATATGACCCCGGTCTGGCTACATAAAAAGCTCGTTCCGTATTCTCCGCCTTATGTGCCCTGGCTTTACGCACCGGATAATGGAACATCCGCTGCACCGCTAACGATCGGACTAAGAAATGTCAGTGGCCATCATTACATAATTAAGAGAATACAATATGTAGCCAAGCACGAGTGTTCTCAATCCAAATAAATTTCCCGGTTGAATTTTAACACAAAAATAAGCAGTATAGATTTTGCAGTGAAGCCGACCTGCGGAAACTGCGTTTGGCCGTTCCGAGAAAGTGGGAGCTATTTGGATCGCTTCTAGAGAAGATGCTACAAAAAAAAAAAAGGAGAAATCGCATCAAGCCAATTAAGAGTTCATATGATCGCAATAATAAAAAAAAATTGAACGAAATAAAAAATGGACTTTTTCGGTAAAGTGGGTTCAAAATGTCGGTTAATCTCATTTTCGACGATATTTTAAATTTTATATAAAAAATTCCGTGAAAATAAAATAAAATAAACTTATGCCCGTCGATAGCCCATGTATAGGACTACACCCGCATAGTATTTGGTAAGCGACAGATGCCACCGGATCGTCAAAGAGACGATGTTTGGCATTTTTTTACCTCAATAACAAAACTTCAAAAGTACTTCTTTTTTAAACTAAAAAATTGTTTGTCAATATAACATACAAGAGCACGAAAAATTACCGTGAGTTTTGTATGCTTTCCGTATTCATACCAGCGTACAAAACTGGGTCGAAAAATCACGGAGTGAAAAACTGATTTTCACCCTGCTCCACTCAATATTTCTTTGTGAAACGAAATATTTGTTAAAAAAGTTTGAAAAGCGGTTTTGTTCTTTCCAGAAATGGGGCAATCACATATATTTCTTAATTAAAATCGAAAGACCCACCCCGACAAGCCTGTTCGATTTCAAATGAAACCACCCTACTGCATTCTGCGTACCGTTAAAAAACACATGCGAAGGAATTTTTTTTTAACAGCCTGGATGGGAAGACGTCATAAAACGAATTTACCATCAGAGAGAAAATTTCTAGAGCTATATTTATGGCGCGAAACGAATGTTTAGATGGCGCACGTGGACGCCACGGAAAATTGGTTTCTATCACGTAGTGCTTGCGCTCTTTCGGGAGCTTCCTATGGCCTCTAAAAGTTACTTATCCATCTTCGTTTAAAGCGCAACAAAAGCGAAGATTAATAAGTAACTTTTAGGGCCCCAAGGAAGCTCCTGAAAGAGCGCAAGCACCACGTGATAGACCTGTGCGCCAGTCAGAAATTGACGGCGGCGGCGCCCTGGAAGGACTGTTCCCTTCCGGCGGCTTCGGCGGCTGCATGGAGAAACGCGTTGAACCGGCGCCGCACCACGTTCAGCGCGCGGCGGAGGCGTGACTTTTGAGGCGGCGGCGCACAGGTCTACCACGTGACCAGCGGCATGCACCCGCGGGCGCCAACTACATATTCGTTTGACGTCGCAAATACAGCTCTGAATTTTTTTTTATTCGTTGTAAAGTCGTTTTATGATATTATGTTTCCATCTAGGCTGTTTTAGATTTTTTTTCTATTTTACATGTGTCCTTTAAGAGAAGACGGGCGCTTCACAATATGTTTTAAACTAGTGGACATTAGTTTTGTTTTATATTGCACAATCACTACTGTATAGGAACCTTCAAGAAACCACGAAACGTAGAAGTGAATGTTTTGACTTTGATAGCAACTTGCGATCTCTGCTTTGACCAGGAACGTCCGCGTAGCGCTGAGATGTCGTTTCGGCAAAACGCAAGGGACAAAGCTAAAAACATAGACAGCCCTTTCCTCGCAAATGTTTTGGGATGTCACTCACAGCCTTAGTAAATTATGTTATCCCAGTAGTTTCGTGTGCTTTGAACATGATAATTACGCCTACCTGGCAATGAACGATGAAATGCCGCATTTCAATAAATTGAAACCTAATTTCGAATCGGCTTTTTCGACGCATTCCCACAATAGCAGGTACGTACAGCTTGCCAATAATGTTACTGTTCACGGTAAGCACTGAAACACTGGTAGAAGCATAAAACTACCGGGACTTTGGTAAGCAAATCTACATGCAAAGTCATCCTGGAACAATACTATTCCGTGCGCATGATAAGTAGGATTACGTGGCGCGTGCAATGATTGTCGAAATTTAGTTTTTGTGAAGTGTATGGATATTTATTCTGGATGTTTATTTATCCTGTTATAGTTCTTGTATATAGTTCCATATAAAACTATAGACAGGATATTTATCCTGTTTATAGTTCCAAATAAAAGAACGATTAAAAATCCACAACAACTATAATAGAAAATTTTCCAAAAAAACCTTGTCAACTGCTTTGCTGGCACGAGGAACTTATTCCTCGTAACCCGTGAGGAACTCATTTCATTGTGTTCCTTCTGGTTTGCAAGTTACATCGCAATGTTCCGAGCATTTTTAAAAGAAGTAGGTGTGATATGAGTTGTAATTATGCGTGGTAACTTCGTCATGCACATGCTGCTCATGCCCGTGGGTGACGCTTCACTGCCACACATCTTTAAATATGTCAATATAAGAAATAAAAAACCGAAGGGCTGTTAAGCTTTCAGCTTATATTGCAGCATTGAGTCCCGTTCTAGCACGTAAACATAATCAACGAACTACTACGTTATACCGCCCACGTTGCAATTTTACGTTAATACATTTCTGTTTGTTCGTAAAATAGTCAATATATTGTACCATAATGTAACTAATTTTATCGCTATAATTCTGTCGGCTCGAGTAAGAAAGAAAACACGAGCCACTCACCGATCGGGATGTGCAGCTTGCGTCTTGGAAGTCGCCAGGTAAAATGTCGCTAGAAACGTTGCGCGCTCCAAGGTCTTAAGAAGGCAAACATTCACTCGAAGGACGAAACCAAAAATAAAACGAAAACAGAACTCAAGAAACATTGCCAGTTCCTTTTCCAGCGAGGTCAGAAGTGCCGCCTTCATAATCGCACGTAAACGCAGCCTCAGCTTTTGGTCTTTTTTTTCGTTGCTTGGTTATTTCCCAGAGAAGCGGCGAGACGATTTTATCTTTTGCATCAAGCAGTCCTCGTGTCTCCTCCGGCGAAGGTAAAACGCGTTTGTTTTTGAAGACGGAATCGGTTTCACTTCCTTGCCTCGGGGTCTCTTTACTTGGACGATGCGCAACACTAAGGCATATCACCGTTGCAGGACTTTAAAAAAAAAACAAAAAAAACTTAGTTATTTTTTATTTTCTTCGCCGCTGTTTTATTTCCTTATTAACGTCCAGCCGGATATTTGATTACTACCCAAAGTTAGCGGGAAATGTGTCACGCCCCTAACGTAATGTCTAGGCATACTGTAGTCTCTTGCAATCTAAAAAAAGCTGGAGAAGTCCGTCCCGCTAAGCTTTCTGCTTGCCATGATTGCGACTTTCCTCCTTTCCAGGTTCGCTCTGCTCAAGTGGCAAGAATGGAAGTTTTTGTGGGAGGAGAGCTCGTCCTGCTTTCCTTAAAGGGGTTATGACACAAAAATTAAACGGATAGATTGTTCTTGAAATGGAATGCTCATGGGCTACTTAGTATATACACCAAGTTACGCGATTTTTAGAGCTCTGGTAATTGCAATATTCAATTTACGAATTTTTATCATTTTCATCTGGCGACCAGGCAACACTGCCCAAGTTAGTCACACCATGGTGTCCATAAACCACGTGACCATGAGGACTCTCTCATTCTAGGCGCCCCCATGATCGTTCAAGCTATCCTCGTCGCGGTACAATCAAAACCGCTCAAGGGGTGTCCAAACAGGACACTACAAAACGCACGACTCCTACAAATCGTGACAATTGAAGCGGGCTTGAAGCGGGCGCGTCCGCTTCAATTTTCACGATTTGTCGGAGTCGTGCGTTTTGTAGTGTCCTGTTTTGACACCCCTTCACACAACTCGATAACCCGAGAGCTATTCTCGCTCTCGCCCCCGGCCCGTTGACCTTCCACCCTGCATGCGCCTGCGAGATATTCCCGGGCGACGTTGGCCACAGCGAGCACGTCCGTAACTCGTCGTCGCTGGTGCTGGTCGCCAACGGGTCGCAGTCAAAATGAACAGCTTCCCACATCTTTTGATAGCAATCACTCTCATCGCTGCCGCGATCAATGTCGAACACTTCGACAAGGCGAGCGACACCGTAAACGTAATCGTCACGGACCGCATGCTCGAGACGGGGAAGGTAAACGAGGAAGCCGAGGCTCGATACGCCAAGAGAGCCAAGTCTGGGAGTGCGTGCAAGGAGATACCACGCTCGAGGCTGGCTATGTAGCCAACCTCCAGCTCCGCCCGGATCTGCCCCTCCGAGGGGCCCGCATTTAAAGGGAAGATGGGGCACTTCTACATTTGAGAAAAAACGCTTGAATTGCGTTCATTTGGCCTTTAGATTAACAGATATCAAAATTGTATTTCAATGCGACGCGCCGGAGAGCCATACGAGCAATTTCAAAATAGGACTGAAGCCCCGCCTCCCTAGCCTTGGGCAGCCAAAAGAGCCGTCGATGACGTCACGGACAGCGACTGTCTTTCGCGTTTTTCTCGCGTTTAACAAGACTTACGCAGCAAATGGTTTGGGTATTCGGGTTCACGGGGTAAAAATACACTAGAATTCACTTCTAACTAATTTTTTCCAAGAAGCTCCGTAGCTTCCCTTTAAATCGATTTATCCACAAAAATATCGCGCCATTTTCAATACAAATTTAGCAGGACTATAGGAAAATACAGCGGGCCCTACCAGTATAGTTATCTCATACTTTATTTTTAGCGTGTCATAACCCCTTTAACCTGTACCAGAGCCATGTACAGAGACTGTTTGGTCATTGGGAGGCGCGGGCAGAGCCAGGGCGTGCACCAGACACAGAAAGAGGTCTTGACATGCTCTTTGGGCCAACAAAAAGCCGAAACGAATCCCCTAGTGGTGGTAGCGAGGAACAGTTTAAATCATAGGTATATAGTTTTAATAAACGCGTAAAGAGTAAGATGTAGTAACCTTTCATGGTTGAAAATGGGGTGAACGGAATGTTTTGATTATGATCATGCAGAAAGATGTAAGAAACGGATGTGCCGCGCGAACTCTGTTTTGCTCGGACAGAGTATGACCGCTCGGACGGCAGATATGCCTGGCCCTCGGCGCCTGGCGTACGGATTATGTCAATCGTTCCACCAGTCGCGCTCTTCCACCATGATTTTGAATGACCGTGACTGAAACATCACGTGTACCACATTTTCAGTCACCGAAAGTTACTCCGACGTACTTATTAAGTTTGTTTCTCGAGACCACCTCCAGGGTATTATTTGTGGTTCCTGGTTGGCCACATTCGAATTTGTGAAGACGCCCTGGAACACGCCCAGCACTCTTTCGGCCAATGGCGTCTCCTCGTTTTACTCCTATACCTCCCAGTGAATGACCAGACTCTCTGTATATGCAGTTCAGACCTGTGCTATAATCAGGAGTGATAATGAGACTGAAAGCCGGTACCCTAACGTCTGTATATAAATACCGTGTTTTTTTAGCTGTACTGACGAAGGACCCTACCAGGCTCCGAAACGCTTCTTTCCGTATTCTGTGATCGCCACAGGAGCATATCTCGAACGGACCACCGGAACCGAACCGAAATCTTCGCCGCCGTAAAACTAAACCAAAGCTAATATATATATATATATATATATATATATATATATATATATATATATATATATATATATACAGGGTGTTTTTTTTATTTTCACACAGTTGTTAAAAAACAAACGTGAAAGCTACACTAATGCGGTTTGTGCAGGTGGGTTATACGGCCAGGCGGGGATTCTGTGAGTGTCTAATCTTTGCGATAAGTTGGCTAATTAATTAAAATTCGTTAATTAACTTTCTAATTAGTGGAAATAGATATATGGTTCCAATTAGAAACTTGTAGAGCATCATCAAAAACCACTAAATCAACTATTTTTGGAAAGATATCACGCCGGGGCAGCATTTTATAGCGTTCTGTAAAAACACTCCATTTGAACGCGTTTCTTGATTTCGGTTTCTTATCGGAGCGCATCACCGCGCCCGCGGTCCTGCTCCCCAGTGGCTGAGACGCGCAACACACGTGCGCCCTACTTCCCTCCATTCTACGAAGGAGGCGAGGAGGTGGCTTCGCGCCGCGACCACCGGGGAGCAGGATCGCGGGCGCCTAGATGCGCTCCGATAAGAAACCGAAATCTAGAAACGGGTCCAAATGGAGCGTTTTTACAGAACGCCGTAAAACGCTGCGCCGACATTATATCCTGCTAAAAATAGTTGATTTAGGGGTTTTCGATGGTGCTCAGCAAGTTTCTAATTGAAACTATTTTCAGTAATTAAAAAGTTAATGAACGAATTTTAATTAATTAGCCGACTTATCGCAAGGATTAGCCGCCCACATACTGCCCACCTGGCAGTATAACCAACCTGCACAAACCGCATTTGTGTAGCTTTCACGTTTTTTTTAAAACAAATGTGTAAGAATAAAAAAAACACCCTGTATATATATATATATATATATATATATATATATATATATATATATATAGGTATATATATATATACCGGGTGTTTGTGCGAAGACTTTCAAAAATCCTAAAACTTAAAGCGTAAAAAAAAAGAAAAAACTTTCTTCGGGAACAAACTACCAGCCACGGCGGACGTCAGGAATTGCCAAAAACATAGTAATTAGCCAAATAATTAATTAAAATTTGTTAATTAACTTTTTAATTAGTGGAAATAGACATATGGTTCTAATTAGAAAGTTGCTGAGCGTTATCGAAAACCACTAAATCAGTCACTTTCAAAAATAATTTCGGCGCGTGAGAAGCGTAGTAGTGCACTAAAGTTACCGCTCTTTGAGCAGGTACAAAGCTAGCGGTTGCGATAAGGCGCCCGCGCGATTTTTCCGTCTCTTATCTAGCCCCAGCCTTGTACCTGCTCCACGAGTGGTAACTTTGGTGCACTACTACGCTTCTCACGCGCCGAAATTCTTTTTGAAAGTGACTGATTTAGTGGTTTTCGATAACGCTCAGCAACTTTCTAATTAGAACCATATGTCTATTTCCACTAATTAAAAAGTTAATTAACAAATTTTAATTAATTATTTGGCTAATTACTATGTTTTTGGCAATTCCTGACGTCCGCCGTGGCTGGTAGTTTGTTCCCGAAGAAATTTTTTCTTTTTTTTTACGCTTTAAGTTTTAGGATTTTTGAAAGTCTTCGCACAAACACCCGGTATATATATATATATATATCAGGCTCAAAATGGTTCGCAATAATGTGTCTGCTTTTTTAGTATCCCAAAATGAATATTTGGGAAGAAAAAATTGCCAACTGTATTGCTACGTATTGATGAAATCATGAGGATACAGAATAGCAATGTTTGATAAAGTGTGGGTTTTCGTGGCACTTTTGGACTGGCACTTTGATTAACCATGTGCCACGTGGTCACGTGACGCCATGGTGTCAAAACATGCTGTCAAGTAATGTCATGTCACATGACTCACTGCGCCAAGTCGCTTTAATTTGAGAAGGTCACTAGATGTATTAACCTTGTTGACATGTGACGTAACACGACAAAATGAATTCGCACCGAGAGTCACGTGACACCGTCACTTACGCGATTTTTATGACCCCGAGTCGAGTGCCCGGGTTCATGACAATGAGCATCGCCGAACGTTCGGGTAACGGCTCGCGTTCAAATAAAGATGATAATAGCCCAACTCTAACAAGATCTGAAGCTCAGCCTAAGCTCTATGGTTTCCCAAACCCAGCGCATGACTATGATAAATACTGACAATAAATAATTAGCGTCAGACCACGTGGCTGCTTGTTGTAATTGCGAGTTGAGAAGGCCAACGC